GTTTGAGCCCCGCGTCGGGCTCTGTGCTGACAGCTCAGAGCCTGGAGCATGCTTCAGATTCTATCTCTGTCTCTCTCTGCCCCTCCCCACTCATGCTCGCTCTTTCTGTCTCTCAAAAAAAAAAAAAAAGTTAAAAAAAAAAAAAAGAGTGGGAACTCAACCAACTGAGCCACCCAGGTGCCCCTGGATGGGGAAATTTATAAAGGTGGGATCAGGCTGATGGCATCTGAACGCCCTGGTCAGCCTTAGTTACCAGCAAAAGAGACACACAGCTAGACATCATGTCCTTCTGATGGAAGTTTCCAGCTACCTATCAGAATGGAAGCCAACATACCAATCTTGAATCTGACAAGGAAACATAATAAATGACATAAGGGGCTGTCATTAACCCATAGCAAACTACGGGAAACTCTCCAGGGGTCCAGGACCAACAATCTGGCTTCTTCAACAAATGAGTTGAAGAAGGGAGGGGGGAGAAGAGAAAGAAAGATGGAAAGATGGAAGGAGGGATAGAGGAAAGAAGGAAGGAAGGAAGTAGGGAAAAAAGGAAATTTTGTTAAACCTGGTTAAACAAGGTTAAATCAGTTTCACAAAGGAAGCTTGTTAACAGTATTTAGGAGATTCATTACCTAAATGCCATGAGAGGACCTTGTATGGATTCTGATTCAAACAAGTAAAATGTTTAAAAAGAAAGCTGGGGGCGCCTGGGTGGCTCAGTCGGTTAAACATCCGGCTTCAGCTCAGGTCATGATCGCATGGTTCGAGGGCTCGAGTCCCGCATCGGGCTTTGTGCTGACAGCTCAGAGCCTGGAGCCTGTTTCAGATTCTGTATCTCCCTCTCTCTCTGACCCTCCCCTGCTCATGCTGCCTCTCTCACTCTCTCTCTCAGAAATGAATAAAACATTTTTTAAAATTTTTAAAAAAAGGAAAAAAAAAGAAAGCTGAGGGGTACCTGGGTGGCTCAGTCGGTTAAGCGGCCAACTTCGGCTCAGGTCATGATCTTGTGGTTCGTGGGTTCAAGCCCCACGACGGGCTGGGCGCTGACAGCCAGCTCAGAGCCTGGAGCCTGTTTCACATTCTGTGTCTCCCTCTCTCTCTGACCCTCCTCTGTTCATGCTGTCTCTCTCTCTCTCAGAAGTAAACAAATTAAAAGAAGAAAGAAAAGGAAAGCTGTGACAGACGAGGAAATTTTAGCGCTGATTGATAGTTTTGATAAGCACAACCATGGTATTGCGGTTAAGTTTAAAAAAAATAAGTGTTGCTTTCTTCTAAGATGAAAAGTGGCGTATATACAAAGAAAATGATGCGATGTCCTCTGATATTCTTAAAAATGTTCAGTGATGGTGCACCTGGGTGGCTCAGTCAGTTAAGCATCCAACTTCGGCTCATGAGATAATCGACCTATATTTTTCAAAAATGTCAAGGTCACAAAAGACAAAGAGAGGTTCAGAAATGGTTCCATTTAAAGGAAACTGAAAGGACAACTGAATGCAACAGTGATCTGGGATTTTCTTCTGCTTTAAAGGTCAGTAATAGGACAACTGGTGAAATCTGATCAACGTTTATAGGTTCCTGGTTTTGATCACTTTACTAAGGTTATATAAGAGAATCCTTTGTTCATAGGAAACACAGTGAGGTATTTAGGTAGGTTCATGGCTGCATGGATGGATGAAGAGAGAGAGGGAGGGAGGGTGATAGGAGGAGACTGAACTCCTGATAAGTGGGCATCTGTCCTTATCCAGGACCAATTTCCAAATCCTTTTATATGAGAGAAATCAATTTCTTTCTCTCAATTTAAGTTACTAACATTCTCTGTTTTCCGTCATTTGCAGCTGAGCCTATAATCTTTAATTTTTTTTTAATGTTTTATTTTTGAGAAAGAGGAAGACAGAGCATTAGCGGGGGAGGGGCAGAAAGAGAGAGGGAGACACAGGATCCGAAGCAGGCTCCAAACTCCAAGCCGTCAGCACAGAGCCCGACGCAGGGCTTGAACCCACGAACTGTGAGATCATGACCTGAGCCAAAGTTGGATGCTTAACCAACTGAGCCACCCAGGTGCCCCTGAGCCTAATAATCTTAGTATCATAATTAAAAGAAATATTCCAGGGGCGCCTGGGTGGCTCAGTCAGCTAAGCATCCAGTGCCCCATTCCCGAGTTCTGCTCACGTCATGATCTCATGATTCATGGGATCGAGCCCCATGTTGCACTCCACACTGAGCATGAAGCCTGCTGAAGATTCTCTCTCACTTTCCCTCGCTCGTGTGAGCACATACATGCTCTCTCTCTAAAATAAAAAAATTAAAAATTAAAAAATTTTAAAGTTAAAATTCAGCTCCTGCACCACACTAACCAAGTTACATGTGCTAGAAGTTAAATTAAGGACCTGCATTTTACCAGGTTATTCCAGGTCATTCTGATACTCTATAACATCCAACAGCCTCTGTAAGGAGAAAGGAGGCGAAAGTCATCTTGCAACCCTGTGAGTTAGTCTGTTCTGTTCTAGCCTCCAAGATTTGAGAGATATCAGCAAATTAGAACTTCAGATCAAGAGGATGAGATGTGACTACATTTTTCAATCAAGGACTTCGTGGGTTCAAATCCCTGCCCCTCTACTCACATGCCAAGTGACCCTGGTCAGATTACTTGACCTCTATGGTGCCTTAGGCTTTTTCACTTGTCAGGGCGCCAATACTAGTTTGCTCTACAGGGTTACCTGAAACCGTTGCTTCCCATATTTTATTTTCTTCACAGAAAATAAACTTCGCGCTCACTGAAATGGCCAGCATTTGCTTTGGCTTTAATGCATTTGACAAACATTTCTTTTTTTAAAAATATTTTTAATAAATTTTTTAATGTTTTATTTATTTTTGAGAGAGAGATAGAGACAGCATGACTAGGGGCAGGTCAGAGAGAGAGGGAGACACAGAATCCAAAGACAGACTCCAGGCTCTGAGCTAGCTGTCAGCACAGAGCCCGACACAGGGCTCGAACCCATGAACCGTGAGATCATGACCTGAGCTGAAGTCGGGCGCTCAACTGACTGAGCCACCCAGTCGCCCCTTAATATTTATTTTTGAGAGAGAGACAGAGACAAAGACAGAGCACAAACGGGGGAGGAGCAGAGAGAGAGGAGGAGACACAGAATCCGAAACAGGCTCCAGGCTCTGAGCTGTCAGCACAGAGCTGGACGCGGGGCTCGAACCCACAAACCGTGAGATCATGACCTGAGCCGAAGTTGGACGCCCAACCGACTGAGCCGCCCAGGCCCCCAACGAACATTTCTTGAGCACCTGCTGTGTCCTCACCACTGTTCTGAGCACTGGGGCCAAGCAGTGAACAAGACAGATAGAAGCCCCTGCTGTCACAAACTGGCATCCTAAAGAGGAGGGAGAAAATTAACAGGACAAAAAAGCAAAATGTGTCGTATGTTAGAGTAGCAAGGGAAGTAGGTAGGACAAGAAACGTACGCGCGGTCAGAGGCCTCACCCAGGGTGCTGTTTTACGATAGACCAGAAGGAGCAGGGAGGAGTCACGGGCATATGTGGGGGAAGATCATTCTAGCCCGAGGGAACAGCAGATGCAAAGGCCCGGCAGTGGGAACGTGCCAAGAACTGCTTAAGATGTGAGAGACACGGGGGCGCCTGGGTGGCTCAGTCCATTAACCTTCTGACTTCGGCTCGGGTCCTGATCTCCCAGCTTGTGCGTTTTGAGTCCTGCATCAGATCCTCTGTCCCTCTCTCTGTCCCTCCTCTGCTCATTCTCTCTCAAAAATAGATAAACTTAAAAAAAAAAAAAAAAGGTTCCAGAGACACAGTAATAAGACAGATGCAGTCTTATCTTCAAAGGCTCACACTTTACTGGGGAGACAGATAAACTGATCTATTTCATCCTCCCAGGACATAAGCAGGAGGACTCAACAGAGGAGATGATGGCCAGGACAGGCCTGAGGACGTGGTGTTTGGGCAGAGGCCAGGAGAGGGTAGAGAAAGCACGTATATATCGGGGGGTGGGGTGGGGGGGGGAATCTATGGACTCTGGCCTGGCCTGTGCCTCTTTCTCCTCTCAGTTTCAGCTGGGGCTCGGGTTTCCAAACAGAGATTGTCTCTGAATTGCTAGAGGAAGGGAATCCTGAGAGGGAGTGCAGACTCAGCCTCCGGCTCCTGGGTGCCCCCGTGTTTGCGCTGGCGCTGGTGCGCGCTAGGTGGGGCCATAGCTTAGGGACTGGGTTCCCCCATCGAAGTTCCAAACCTATCTTCAAAGGGGCCCTGGGCCCTGGGCCTCTGGGCAGAGGGGAGCCTCACCCTGGAGCTGAGCTAGGAAGAGAGCTAGGAAGCCACCTCCCAGCTGTGTCCCATCTGGGTTTCTCTCGGTTCTGGGTACGGCTGGCAACCTACACTCCCCACTCCCTCGGTGGCCAAGAGGGGGTTGAGGATACTCTCTGGGGCCCAGGGTGGAGCTGGCAGGATCGTATCCAGATGGGCACTGCCCTGACTAGCTGTGTGACCCTGAGCAGCTCACTTACCTTCTCTGAGCCCACATCTCCACGATAGTTCCTAGTAACTCCCACCTCCTGAGGATTCACGTCTTGGAAAGTGCCTGATGAAAGTTACCCATTCCTTTGGGGAACAGTGAGCCCGGGAAGGTTATCTGGGCCCGTGCCCCCAAGACCATCTCTCAGGGAGGAACGTGTACTTGCGATGAAGTAGGGGGAACCTCCCCATACCCCCCCAGGCTACCTTTGAAGGGAAGCAAAGAGGCCTGAAATCTAATCAATCACTGGGAGGGACCAGACAGATGCCCTAGGCAAAGGTCAATATTTACCCCTTTCTTCTCCTCCTCCTCCGAAACCAGCTGTGATGCTGGCTTGGGTGGGGTTCAGGGTTGGGGCACAGAATAGGAAAGCCATGGTAGCAGCCACCCTCCCCGTCCCATCCCCCCTCCAGTCACGGGGTGCTAGCAGGGTGCCGCCTTAACCCTAAAAAGACAACCACCACCAGAATGAGAGATTGAACCGTTTATTGGCCTGGGCCTGGGTCTCGGGCATGGGGGGCATTTGGGGAGCTGTACGAAGGGAGACAAGCCCCCAACTGGCTCCTTGCCCCCCAAGACCCCCTCCCCCAGCCTTTGCATTCACGAGAAATCCCTTTGAGGCATGAGGTTTCCTTCCCCAAGGAGAGCTGTACCCCAGCTCTCAAGCGGGGAGGCGAGCCAGCAATTACAAAGGGGTCTGTGCGGGGGGCCAGACCCCTCTTTGGCAGCTTCAATACAGACAGGAGACGCCAAGAGCATCCACTCAGGGGGAACACGGTGGGGAGAGTGGGTCACAGATACCACACACGCGCGCACACAAACACACATAAATATACATTTGTACCGCAATGTCCCTTCCATCTATCCATGGAATTTAGGAAAGTCCTTCTGGGGCAGGTGAAGGGACAGCACCCCGCAAATGTCCTTGGCATGCCTACCCCCATGCCCCTCCATACAATACAACTTGAAAGGAGGTACGTTGGCTCAAGGCTGCCCTGCCCCGGGGAGATCTGGTACCTCCCCTGGGCCGTAGGTGGGAGTAGCTCTGGGGTGGTTGTTTCTATGGGGGGGGGAGGTGTCCTGTGCAAACAGCTGCCCTTGAACCTTCTCAAGTTCCACCCTCTCTCACCAGGAGGCCCAGAGCCCTCCTCAGCTCCCCCAGACCAGTTTTTCCAGCCCTTGGTGTTCCTCTGTGCCCCAAAAGGTGCAATTGGCCGATGAGGTCTGAGAACGGCATCCAGCCCCCCTCTCCACCCCATGGCTTCCCAGCATCTCATGGAGAGAGAGAGGAAAGGGAAGAGGCCGAAGTGGCAGCTGGTGAAATTTGGGGAAGCTGTGGATTTGGGCTTTGCAACCGTCAGCCAGGGCCGCCGAGGACAGTCAGGGAGGAAGCCTCCGGCCCCTTGGGGCAGTAGTGCTGGCGAAAGTGGCCTAAGGTTGCCAGAGGGGACAAGGGGCTAGATTCAGAGAGGGGAGCCCTGTACAGGGCAGAGTGTCAGTCGTGAAACGGTGAAATCCCTTGTAAGGGGTTGTAAGTTGTTCCTGCCCTGAGCTCCCGAGTGCTTGCCTATTGTCGCCAGGCCCTTTCCAGGTCCCCCAGGCCTCCCCATGATCCAGTTCTGAAGGGCTCGCACCAGTTACTGCACTAGCCTCTGACCCTTCAGCTCTGCCGTCCGACTGGCCACCGTCTCAGCCGGCCACCCCTGGCGTGAAGTATTTTCAATATCACCCAGGTCTGCGGCGTAGGGGCGTCCTGCTTGGCAGCCCCACATCTCTGTCCAAGGTCACCCGGTGTGTCTCCACGGAGCCCTCTGTCATGGCCTGGTGGCCCACTCAGACCATCGTGTTGCCCTCCAGGAACGTGGGCGACGTGGGCATGTGTGTGCCCCTCTCTAGAGAGCTGGAGCTGCGGAGGGGCAGGAGGCGATGCCCCGGGGTCCCGCCCCGCCGCCCTTGAACCCCCGTCGCCCGCCGGCAGCACTGCAGCGGCCTCAGTACCTCCCGCCGTAGGTCCCGGCTGCGCCACGTGTAGATGACGGGGTTGAGCAGTGAGTTCAAGGTGGCGAAGGCAAAGAAGTAGTGGGCTTTGTAGAGGATTGGGCAGGACCGGATGGGACAGGCATAGTCCAGGAGCAGGATGCTGAAGGCAGGCAGCCAGCACACGATGAAGACACCCAGCACGATGGTGACCGTCTTGAGCAGGGCCAGCGTCTGTGGGCCGGCCACGTCGGCGTGGCTGGAGCGGACCACGCAGTAGATGCGGATGTACAGAGCGACGATGGCCAGCAAGATGACAGAGAAGATGGTCACCACGCAGAGCACATAGCGCTTAGTGTAAAGCGGCAGCACGGTGGAACAGGCCTCGAGGTGGCCCAGGCAGTTCCAGCCGAGGATGGGCAGGCCTCCGAGAGCGAGGGAGATGAGCCATGAGGCCACGATAAGCAGCAGCATGCGGCAGCTCTTGTCGCTGCCGTAGAGCTTGACCTTGGCGATGGCCACGTGCCGCTCAATGGCAATGGCCAGGAGGCTGAAGACAGAGGCGGAGAGCGTGATGAAGGCGGAGCCCTCCCGGGCAAACCACTCCAGAGGGGTCAGCCCCAGCGTGACAGGGCCCGAGAGCAAGGTGTTGGCTACGAAGGCCACACCTGCCAGCAGGTCTGAGGCGGCGAGGTTGCCCAGGAACAAGTACATGGCGGAGTGGAACTTGCTGTTGCGAGCGACGGCGATGAGCACCAGCAGGTTCTCCACCACGATGGCAAAGCAGAGGATGATGATGAAGGCCGACGCCACCTGGCGGGAGGTCGTCTCCTGAGTGTCCAACGTCTCCTTGGTGTAATTATAGTGTTCCAGGACCTTGCTGGGGCTTAGGTACTCTGAGTACAGGCTGCCCATGGTGGGGCTCAGTGGCCGGCCAGGGCCATGGGGCTGTCAGAGCTGCAGAGGGAAAAGACCAACAGACAGGTCAGTTCATGGCTGCTGCCTGGGCTCTGACTTCGGCTGGCTGTGGTGTGAGCCCCAGCTTCCTCACTTCTCACTGAGAGGCCGTATGAAGTCAGAACTGCCAGCGCCCTCCATTTACCAATGGGAAACCCAGAGAGGCCAATTCACTTCCTGTAAGTCTCAAAGCCAGTAAGTCTCAACGTGGCAGAGACTTGCTCTAAAGCCTCCATAGCCTCTAGGCTACGCTGTCTTCCAAAAAAGAACAGAAACTCCCCCAAATACAAGTGGACTTCCAGAACTCTACTCACCTACACAGAGACTGAGCCTTGGGCAGGGCCGGGAGGGCCTGTCTCCTTGTATTCCAGAATACACGAGAGCCTGGGGCTTCATGCTGCCTGCCAACCTGGGTCAGCAAGATGCTCGCTGCTGATAGCACCATCCCCTGCTCATTACCACCCACTGCCCTCGGCTTCAGGCTGGGTCTGAGCCTTGAGGCCATGGGTGCTCCCCATGGGTGCTTGGGGAGACACCAGGGCGGCCCTGAGGTTTACGCATCTCAGAGGTCATGGCAAATCCAGGGTTGAACCCCACTCCACCCGACATGCTGTGGGACCTTGGGCAAGTCACTGAATGTCTGGCCTCTCAACGTCCTCATCTGTGCAATGGGGAGAAGAAAGCCCAGTTCCTAGGGGTTATGGGAAAATCCTGTTGAATGCTACATGAAGCACCCTTGGCACAGAGCAAGCACTCAGTAAATATTAGCCGATATATTAGCTCCCTTAGGTGCCCTCCATCCAGTCTTATAGGAGGAGATGTAGACTGAGCTAGCCAGGCTCGACTCCCCACATCCTGTTCTCATCGGCACCATCTAGCACTGCCCTGGGACGCAGGGTCCCAGCGGGGTGGGCAAGGCACTGGCACCCCCCCACCCCCCCAGCCAGGATGAAATCCAGATGTGAGGCCCTGGAACAAACAGGGTGGAGTCCTCACCCCTCAGTCACATCCGGTGTGGGAAAGGCTGCGAGGAGGGGGTGATGGGATGGGGGAGCCACAGGAGACCAGTCTGGGAGGTCCTGGCTGGGAGGACCAGGCAGCTGCTGCAGCCTCAAGTCATGTGAGCCGAGGAGGGGGCGTGCAGCCCTGCGGGGAGGGGGCTGAGGGGAGGAGGGGGGACCAGCATTTGTTTCCATCAAAGCCTGAGTCACCCCCTTCTCAGGGAAAACTGAGCCGTGGGGGGAGGGGGCGGGAAGAAGCGTGGGCAGAGAGGACAAGAAGCCAACATCATGGCCTCCTCCCAGCTTGCTGGTTGGGCGGCGGGGGTGGGGGTGGGGGTGGGGGGGGTCGCAGAGGAGCTGGTGCTGAGTGTGTCTTTCACGAGGGGGGCCAGGAGGAAGCTCCAGCCTTCAGCTGGTGGGGGAGGGCGCGGCAAGAGCCCTCCTGAGGTCCCTGGAAGCATGCCGCGCAAGGACCACGTGCGCTCCAGGGGTACCGTTCCAGAAAAAGGCTGGTTAGGCCGGTTCCTAGTGAGCCTGGGAACTATGGGGGGCTTCCGGGGTCACCCGGCCACCTCAGGCCCCGGACGCCCCCTCAAAGGGGCATCCTGGCCCCGGGCCTGACAGAGGCAGCTGCTCCCCCTGGGTGAAGGGGCATCCGTCCTAGTTTGGGAACAGAGAAGGGCTTGTGCGCATCCCCGGAGACTGTCGCCCCGCCCAGATCGCCACACAGAGGCCCCTTGTTCCCCTGCCGGACCGGGCGCCCCGATGCCCTCTGCCCGATGTAGGCTGAAGCCGGCCGGGAGCGAGCTTGGCCCTGGCCTTACCGGACCGACCTTCGGGGGCAGAAACAGCCCGCGCCCTGATTGGCTTATTTTCAATCCCAGGGCGTTGAGCGATTCGCCAATTGGCCAGAGCCTCCCGTCCTCGGCATTTGATTGGCCCGGTTGGGGGCGCTCTAAGGGAAGCGCGAGGGAGCCGTCCCTCGCTGGTCAACTGCTCCTTTCAGAAGGCGGTCAAAGCTGCGGAGATGTCTCTGGGGAGAGTGTGAACCGCGCGGCCTGACCGCCGGGTCACGACAACCAGACGCCCCCAGGCTGCCCTGGCCCCCTGGGCCTTTTCTGAGGTTCATGACTGAGAATCATGGGCCCCTGCAGGCCTGGGAAACACCCTTGCGGGTGGGCGAGAAGCCCAGGGTGTGTCCCATGGCCACCCCCTTCACCCCTCCCTCACATGGGGCCACCAACCCTCTGGTCTGGCAGCCAAGAGGAAGATTTATGGATGCTTCCTGGAGAAATAAGAACTGGGTTCACTCCTCACATCCCGGAGACTGACCAAAAAGTCAGTCTTCTTCCCTGGGGGTGGGGCTCGGGGAGGGGGATACTAGCAGCCTGCACCCTCACTTTCCGCAGCCCCAGGAGGCTCTCAGGGGGTCCTCAGAAGGAGGGGTAGCTCCTCTAGTCAGAGAAGGGGAAACTGAGGTTCACACCGCCTCCCTCTTCTCTTCCCCACTCCTCCCCCACTTTGCTGAAGACAGAGCTTTAAGGCAGGTCCATGCTTTCCAGAAAGAGGAAGCAAGGCCTGGAGGTTGGGACTGACAGGAGAGCTGGCCCCAGGCAGACGCAGGCCTTGGCTGTTCCCCTCCCTGTCTGGCGCCCAGACCTGGCTAAATACAGGCCCTGTCTCCTGCTTGGCTCCTCCGTAGCAGCCCTAACTTCCTCCCCGAGGCTCGTAGGGGATCACTGGGCTCAGAACTGGGAATGGCCAGGCCTGAAATGGAATGAGAGGGACAAGCCACAGGGTTTGGAGATAGACCCAGACTGTTCAGGGGAGATTAGAAGAGAGGAAAGACAGCGGCTTCCAAGAGCCCCTCCTCCAAGTTCCACTGAGGCAGTTTACAGTTCAACTGTCACTTACAGATCCCATGCCACTTGCCCTAGGCCAGTGCCCCCACCTTTCTTTTGGTTTCCCTTCTGCAGGCAGGCCCACCCCACACTGTCATTCTCCACGCCGCAGCCAGGGGGAGCCATCTAATCTACAACTCCAGTACAGCCCGGCACTCCAACTTCCATATTCTTCCATGGCTCCCCATTGCCCAAAATGGCCTGGCCCCTGCCCATCCAGCCACCTCCCACTGTCCCGCAGGGCCACGCAACTCCAACCACAGCGGCCTCCTGGGTGCCATCCCCGTCCCTACGTCAGAGACTTTGCTCGTCTTCCACCCGGCATGCCCTCCCTGCAAATCCTTGAATGACTGTCTCCTCGTCTTTCAGGTTTCAGTTTCAAGGTCACTGGATGGGGTGGGGGCGGGGGGGGGGTCTCCTCTGACTGTCAGTCTACCACAGCCACTTTCCCCAGGGCCTTTCCATTGCAGTATCTTGCTTTATCTTCACACAACTTGCCATTTTCAGAGATTATTATTGTATGTCCTGTTCTCTGTCTGCTTTGCATGTTAGGAGTGTTGGAGGCCGGCCCCTGTGGCAGGATGCCTGGCCTACAGAAGGTGCTCAGGAAACGTGTGGATGGATGGATGGATGGATGGACCGACGGATGAACGAACAAATGAACGAAGCCCCCTGGGCCCCCGAGGGTAGAGGCACCTAAACTCTGCTTAGTCCCAAACAACAGCAAAGGTTGGAGACGCCTCTGGTCGCTGGCAGCCCCCGGACTAGGCGAAGCCCAGCGCGTCTCCGCGGAGACAGCGACAGGACCCGCCCCCGCCCTCGGGCTGCAGTCTGGCCTCCTTATCTGGCGGTGGAATGCGCGGTATCTACGCTCGCTCCCGCCGGGGCCGCGCCTCCTCTCTCGCGACAGCCACACGCGAGGAATCCCTACATCTCGCGTGGAGGTGGGGAACGCCTCTCTTCATACCCTCCCCAAGGGGCTTCGTCTCAGTATTGCCGGAGGACTTAGGGGCGGGGAGGGGGGGGTGATCCCAGCTGCGGCCACACGGCCAATACAGAGCCGCCGTCGCGCCACGCGGGGGGACCGTGGGCTCAGCGCGTGGCGCCTGGAGCCTCTGACTAGGACAGAGTCGGGGGAGGGTGTGGAAATCCCCGGGTGAGTCAACTGGTGCCGGAGGAGGGGGCGAGGTTCCGACAATCTGCTGGGCCGGGGACCACGCGGTGTTCGCACCGCCGCCCCATCCCTGGGCCCCAGGAGAAAGATGAGGCGCCGGAGCCACGCAGTCACGTTCCCATTCTTTCCAGAACAAAGCCACGCCTCCCGCGGGGGTGACTGGAGAAGACGAACTACCCGGGGAAACTGAGGCACGGGGGCCCACCTGCAGGCGGTGGGGCAGACTGTCCCCGGGGGAACCCCGCCCCTCGGCTTGCAGGCTCCCCGGCGCACGGCACCTTTCGCTCTCGCCCAGCCCGAGTCGGCCAGGCGGAGGGCCCTCCCCCCATCCACACTCCCCAAACCCCCTCGGATCTGCCTCCCAGTCTCCGGCCGAAAGCGCTCCTATTCCGCCTTGCGTTCGGCGCCAACTTCCTGTCCCTGAGGAAGGCGGGGAGCTCAGTCTGGGGGTTCGCGGCCGAGGCTGCACGGGCCGCCCGGAGTCGTGGAGAAGGTTCCCAGTGACCACTCCCTCCGTGCAGCAGGAGCACGGGCGGCGCGTGCGCGCCCGGGAGCGCCCCAACCCCTGGCCTGGCCCCCCGGCTCCGATCCTGCGACTTCGGGGACCCGGGCCCGTCTTTTCTGCCTTCCCCTCGCCCCGCACACTCACCTGGCTGGGCAGGCCCGGGTCCCTGCTCTGGCCGGAGGGGCTTTGGCGTCAGCGTCCCCGGGACGGCCTCGGCAGGGGCTGGGGCTGCCCGCCGGGCTGGGGCTGCGTCCCGGGGCTGGGGACCTGGGACGGAGGGGGGCGGGAGAGACACCGCCTCGGCCCCCCCCACTCGCCCCGCCCTCCTCTCCTCCCCTTTCCGGCGCGGCAGCAATGAATTCCAGATGTGGCCGGTCGGCCGGGGCGCGCGCTGGGGACGGCGGGGGAGGCGCGCGGGGTCCCTTTGTCCGCCCCCCCACCTCTCGCCCTGCCCCTCCCAGCCCCCACTCGTGAGAACTTGCCGGCGTATGACGTCACACGACTCCGTGATGTCACGTCTCTCCTGGCCAGGTGGCTTCAACCTGAAACAACTGTCTTTGATTGCAAATATAGTCTTGGGCCCTTCAATGGGACCTCGGAATTGGAGGAGACCATGAGATCCCCTTTATCTACTCACCAAGGAGCCACTGAAGCACCTTTGTGTCTTTGGAACTCTGGCTTCCAACAACAAATAATCGAGTTCCTACTATGTGCCACGCCCTGCCCCAAAGACAGGGTTCGTTTTTGCTCTGGGTACGACCCCTGGAAAACTCCGGAGTACCCCACAGCCTAACCTGCCTCTGCTCTTGCTGTGGTCAACCAGACAGGCAGGCGCAGTTTCATCCTGCCTTCCGAATTGGGGCCCCGTCTTCCATCCAGTTCTTTGGTTTCCCTTTCTTTTCTTTATTCAGCTTTTCCTGGGCACCTCTGTGTGCCTGACTGCCGAGGTGAAGGGCACCTTCATTTACTGATGCGCAGACACGTGTGTGAGAGAAATCAGCACTAGACAACATGATAGGAGAGCCCCGCATTGCTTCACCAGATATTTTTGGGGCACCTGCTGGGCACAGCAGCGAACAAAAACAGGAGGGAAAAAAAAAAAGTCCTCGCCTTCAGGGAACTTATGTTCAGGTGTGACAGACAGCCTTTGAGGAGGGTCCTATTTGTGAAAATGTATATATAACCTTCTGTGTTTATTTGCCAGATAACATTAAGCATTTGCTATGTGCCAGCCCTTATTCTAAAAGGCTGGAGATGTATCAGGAACAAACCAGACAAAACTCCCTGGAGCTGACGTTCTATGAACCATGCTCAGAATATCCAGAATATTGCAGGCAGAAGAAACTGGTGAATTTCCTGGGAGAGGAAGTGAAAAATAAGGACAGGGCACAGGGAGGGAGGCTGCTTTCACTCTATGAACCCTCTCATGCCTTTTGATGTTTTTTTTAACATGCACATGTGTCCAGTGCCAATAATAATTGACTGCTCCAGGGGCCCAGCTCTTGATTTTGGCTCAGATCATGATCTCAGTGTTGGTGACGTCAAGTCCCACCTCCAGCAGCGCACTGACAATGCTGAGCCTACTCAGGATGTCTCCCTCTCTCTCTGCTCTTCCTCTGCTTGCA